GATGATTGACATCTCGTCAGAAGCAGTACCCATCAGAGGATGAATTAGCTCTTTATCACCATAATGAAGTGCCTGTGGCAACTAACTTAGAAAAGGTTTATTTTGGCTTATGATTCTAGGGTTTCTAGTTCAAGATTGAGGGACCTTATGGCTTTGGGCCTCTGGCAAGGATGGTACATCATGATGGGAGCAAGTGTCAGAGCAAATGACTCCACTCATCAGCCAGGAAGTAAAAAAAAAAAAAAAAAAAAATGATGAGCTGGAGTCCCATAATCCCATTTGAGGGTATATCCTAAGGATCTCTTAAAGACCCTGCCTCCCAATAAATCTAATCTGGGGATCAAGCCTTTAACTCATGGATCTGTGGGGAACATTGAACAGCCAAACTATGGCAGAGGACAATGGAATAACTTTTTAAAGTAGTGCTTTTAAAAAGCAAATGTAACCTGGAATTCTATATTTAAAACAAATGAGAAGCAGGGCCTGGTGGCAAATACCTGCTACTTAGGAAGCTAAGACAGGAGGATCACAAGTTTTGAGGCCAGCCTGGGCAACTTAGAGCCTGTCTCAAAATAAGGGCTGGAGATGTAGTTCAGTGGTAGGGCACTTGCCTTGCATGTGCATGGGAATGGGTTTCATCCCCAGTCTTAAAAAAAAAATTTTTTTCTGATAGGCAAAAGCAAAGACAGTTTTCTATACCAGACTTTTATCATAAGAAATGCTTAAAGAAATTGTGTTGAAGCAAAGTAATGATAAAGGAACCTCAGATCTAAAGGAAATAATGACTTGTACCAGGAAGAGTAAATATGTGGATGAGAGGGACCTTTTAAAAAGTTCCCTTTCTGAATTCCCATGTTCATTAAATTCATTAATTTTAACAATTAATATTGTTAAAATGGCCATACTACCCAAAGTAGTTGATAGATTCAGTATAATTCCCATGAAAATACCAGTGACATTCTTCATAGAACTAAAAAATCCTAAAATTTATATGGAAAAACATAAGTTTCTGAATAGCCAAAGCAATACTGAACAAAAAGATCAATACTGGAGGCATCCCAGTACTTGATTTTAAAACATACTACAGAGCCATTGTGACAAAAACAGCATGGCTTTGGCCTAAAAACAAGCATGTTGACCAATGGAACAGTGTAGAGGACCCAGAAATAAATCATACATCTTCAGCCAACTGATTCTCAACAAAGGTGCCAAAAACATGTATTGGAATAGAACAACCACTTCAACAAATGGTGCTGAGAAAACTGGACATTCATTCATAGAAGATTGAAACTCGAACCCTCTCAGCTTACATAAAAATCAACTAAAAAGTGGATCAAAGACTCTAGTGGAAGACCTGAAACTTTGAAACCACTAGAAGAAAACATAGGGAAAACACTTTAAGAAATTGTCATAGGCAACAATTTCCTGGTTAGGTCACCAATAATTCAGGAAATAAAAGCAAGAAATGATAAATAGAATTACATGAAATTAAAAGCTTCTGCACAGCAAAGAAAAAAATCACCAGTGAAGAAACAACCTACAGAATGCAAGAAGATCTTTGCTAGGTAGTCAACTGACAGAAGATTAATATCCAAAATATTTAAAAATCTCAATATAAAAAATGAATAATCTGGGCAGGGACTATGGCTCAGTGGTAAAGCACTTGTCTAGCATACATGAGACACTGGGTTCGATCCTTGGCACCACATAAAAATAAACAAAACAAAATAAAGGTATYGTGTCCATCTACAACTAAAAAAATATTTTTTTWAAAAAACGGATAATCCAATCAGGGAATGGCCAGATGATCTGAATAGACACTTCTCAAGAGAAGTACAAATGGCCAATAAATGTGTGAAAACATATAGTCTCTTCATTAACCACAATAGAATGAAACCAGACATTAAAAGCAGAAGGAAAACTGAAAAACACCGCTTATTTGGAAATTAAATACTACTATGAAACAGTGAGAAAAAGAAAATGGAAATACTTTGAAATGGAAATGAAAAACAACATATCCAAACTCATGGGATTCTGTGAAAGCAGTGCTCAGTGGGAAATTTATTCTTGTGAATGCCTACATTAAAAGAGAAGAAAGAAAGAAAGACATCAAATCAATAGCTTTATACTTCAAGGACCTAGAAAAGATTAATTGAGATAATTTAGTTAGTTCATCTAACAGTTCTTACAAGAGCTTGGAATACAGGAGGCACTTATTAAATGCTAGTCTCTCACCATAAAGAGTCCTCAGTGACACTACTTTAAAAATAAGTGGGGCTGGGGTTGTAGCTCATGGTAGAGTGCTTGCCTAGTATGTATGAGGCACTGGGTTCGATTCTCAGCACTGCATATAAATACATAAAGGTCCATGGACAACTAATAAAAAAATTGGAAAACAAATATAGGGTTCCACTTACAACACTATTTCCATTTCTGCAGTTTGGTGAAATGTGTATTTTTCCATTAAAAATAGCAGATATTGCTCATATACCATAAGTTTCACATAATTAAAATATAAAAATTAGTTTTAGTATATTTGAMAAATTGTATGACTATCAAAACTGTCTAATTCAAGAACATTTTCATAATGCCAACCCATTCATTAGTATTCACTGCACAGTCCTAAGCAATCACTACTACACTTTTTGCTTCCGTGGATATACCTTTTTTAGACATTCAGTGTAAGTGGAATCATATGATATGTCACCTTTTGTGTCTTTTCTTTTAGTAACATAGTGTCTTCAAGACTCATTCCTATCCTAACATGTATAAATACTTCATTTTATTGCTAAATAGTATCCTGTTGTATGGTTATCAMATTTTGTTTACACATCCATCAGCTGTTGGATGTTTGAGTTGTTTTACTTTATGAATGATGCTGTCCTACTCATACAAGTTCAAGTGTTAATTGCAAATAGAATAACTGATAACTGGGTCTTACAGCAATACAGTGTTTAATCTCTTCTTTCTTCCTCCTTCCCTTCCCTCTTCCACTCCTTCTCTCCTTTCCTCTCTCTTCTCCTTCTCTTCCCACCACTACCACCACATAGGACCTCATACATGCCAGGCAAGTGCTCTACCACTGAGCTACAGTCACAATCCTTAACCTCTGTGGAGCTCTCAGATTGTTTTCCAAAGGCGACATCATTTTACATTCTCATCGGCAGTGTATGAGGGCTGGTGTTTCTCCACATCTTGCCATTACTAAGTATCTGTCTGTTTAATTTTATTTATTCACATGGATGTGAAGTATCTTGTTGTGGCTTTGACTTACACTTGCCTAATGATGAACGATATTGAACATCTTCTGTGAGTATTGACCATTTAGATACCTTCTTTCTGGGGCTGGGGATGTGGCTCAAGCGGTAGCGCGCTCGCCTGGCATGCGTGTGGCCCGGGTTCGATCCTCAGCACCACATACAAACAAAGATGTTGTGTCTGCCGAAAACTAAAAAAAAAAAAAAAAAAAAATTAGATACCTTCTTTGCAGAATTGTTGATTTAGAATCTTTGCTCATCTTTCAATTGGGTTGTCTTTTTATTGTTGAGGTATAGGAGTTCTTTAAATATTCTAGGTATAGATACCTTGTCATACATATGATTAGCAATTTTTTTTCCTATTTTGTGTGATTTCTTTTCACTTTCTGTGCTCTTGTTGCTACCTTGATACCCTTTGAAGAATAAAGGTTTTAAATTTTGATGTCCAACAATCTATCTTCAGATTATGTCCTTTGGGTATGATAACAGCTATGAAAGCTTTGCATAATCTAGCAACTCAAAGTTTTATGCCAGTGTTTTCTCCTAAGGATTAGAGTTTTAGCTCTATTTATTAAGGCCTCTGATGCACATTGAGTTAATTTTTTTTGTGTGATTCAGGAAGGAGTCCAACTTCATTGTTTTGCTTGTGGGTATCTAGTTGGCTTGGCACCATTTCTTAAAAAGACTATTCACCATTTAAATTAATTTCCCACAAATGTAGGAGTTTATTTTTAGACTCTTTATTCAGTTGATCTATATTGATCCTTATGCCAGTACTACAGAGTCTCAGTTCCTTGCTGTAGCTTTGTAGTAAAAAAAATAAAATAAAATTTTAAAATTAAATTTTGTTGTTTTGAGATGGAGTCTTGCTATGTTTCCCAGGCTGGTCTTAAATTCCTAGGCACAAGTGATCCTGTTTCCTTAGCCTCTCAAATAGCCATGATTATAGGTATAAATCACTACACAGTGCAGCTCTGTAGTAAAATTTGAAATCAGAAAGTTTGAGTCCTCCATCTTTATTTTTCTTTTCAGGATTTTTTTTTAATCTATTTTGGGTCTCTTGTATTTCCATGTGAACTTTTAGGATCAAGTTGTCACTTTCAGTAAAAAAAGGCAGTTAGGATTGATAGGGATTGCATATAATCTATGAATCAGTTTGGGAAGTGGTGTTGTAGTATATAACACTATCAAGTCTTCCAGTTCATAAATGTGGGTATTTTTCAATGTATATCTTTAATTTTTCTGAATGTTTTATATAAGTTTTCAATATGGAAGACTTGTACTTTTGAACTTATTCCTAAGTATTTATTTAGATCCTGTTATAAATTGGATTGCCCTATTTAATCCATTTTTAGGTTGTTATTTAATAACATAAATTTGTATATTCTGTCACCTTACTAAACTCCTTGATAAGTTATAATTGATTTTGTGGGTTTTTAGAATTTTCTATATATAAGATCATATCATCTGCAAATAAAAGTTGTTTTATGTCTTGCTTTTCAATATGGATGGTTTTTATTTCTTTTTCTTATCTAATTGCCTTGGCTAGAACCTCCAGTACAATGTAGTACACAAATATCTGAGTGTTGCTGTTTTTGTGAAAGGGTGATAGGTTTCATGAAATTAGTATCATCTTATTTGTAGGACAATGATTGAGGCTGTTCTGATCCAGTATGAAAAACATGTAATTTTTTGTTGTTGTTGATGGAGGAATAATTTCATAATTTTTATTTTTTCTTTCAGGTTTTCTCAAATAGTGATGAAGGCCTTATTAACAAAAAGTTGCCCAAAGAACTTCTCTTAAGGTAAGTGTAGATAAATTTTAGATAAAAGAGTTCAGGTTTGATTCAGTTATCAAGTTCCAAGACTATCTTCTTTCTCCCTGAGTCCATAGCATAGAAAGACAGAATTAGCCTAACCGACTTTTTGTTTTTGTTTTATAGAATGCTGTTCAGCTTGTTGTTAAATTTTACTTGGTCTAATCCAGAATGTACTAGAGTATGTACATAGCATTGGTCTGGATTCTTTTTGTAAAGTGGTAAGTATTGTAATGATCTTCAGTAGGTGCCATTGTTTTGGTATGAGTAGATAATCATAATTAATAATATAAGGAAAGATTATTGCTAAAATTATGAGTTCTTGAAGTCAGGGAGTTTTARATGTTGTCTGATAAATGGGTTTTAAAGTAAGCACAGTTATGGTATGTTCTTACCAAGTACTTCAAATGCTGTCAGTCTCAAATATTGCTATATTTTTTTATCAATATGAGAAGTGTGTGCTAAGTGACATGAGTACTATAAAACAGGCTTTTGTCTTTCTTTCATTACTAAATATACAGTAAATTTTATTTTGGTTGTCATTTTATCAAATAAAGCTATCAACCAACATTTGTTGGGCATGGTAGCACATGCCTGTAATTCCAACTTCTCAGGAGGCTGAAGCAGGAGGATTATAAGTTCAGGGATAGCCTCAGCAGCTTAAGGAGACCTTGCCTGAAAATAACTTACTAAAGGGGGCTGGGGATGTAGCTCAGTGGTAGAGCACTTGCCTAGCATGTGCAAGCCCCTGGATTCAATCCCTAGTACCAAAAAATTTATCTGAGGCACTGCAACTTTCTTTAGTATTTTACAATCACCAAAGAGATCTTATTTTAGTTTTGGATGCTGTTACATTTTAATTCTTAAGAAATAATTTATATACACAATAATCTTTGAGTAACCTTTGCCAAACTGTTTGTCCTGTTGCTGATATTCCACAAAACAAATAAAAACTGGTTCTGTGATCAAATAAGTATGGGAAACTATGGGTTAACAAAACCAATTCCTTGACTACAGGACTTCTTAGAGACTTAATAGGTTAATGTGCGTGGTGATGTTCCAGGTTGGGTGGTTGTGACATTTCAAACTTATCAACAATGAAACCCTCTTAATAGTCCACAGAAAAATTTTTAGGAAATGCTGACATACAATAAGAGATGGTCTAAATGACTGTACTCAATCTTTTAAAAACTGTACTTCCTGACTGTACTTCCTGACTGTACTCAATCTTTTAAAAACATTTTGGGAATGAGTGTGAATTTTCTTTAAATATTGGGAATAATTCCTTAATCTCTTCCTGAGTTCACCCAGAGTCACTCTGTAAATGCCAGATTACTCAACTTTGCTGTCATCAGTATGCTAGACTTTTTACCTTGAGTCAGAAACAGGGTGAGAATTTTAGCTTCTTTGTGGCAGTGATCACATTTTGGGGGCTTCGGAGTATCTGTCATTAGTCATCAGATGTTGTTTGGCACTGTTGTTATGAGCTCATTGTACTCAGTTAATAAAGAAGAAAATTAACTGACAAAGGATTGTATGAAAATGATCATATTATATTCTAATAAAAACTATTTGGATCAAAATATTCTTTGGCATCTTAGACCATTCTAAACTAAGAAAGTGATGACAAAGAAGCAATGTATAGGAATGTGTGTTTACAATACTAACTTGCAAGACCTTGGTCATGCATAATAAACTGTTGGAATCAATGTGGCTAAGTCAGGGTGCATAAATTGTCTGTACAACTTCAGGGGACACCACCCACAGAGACTGTAATATGGACGATGTCCCCTAGAATTATGCATTGCTTCCAGCCTTGTTGTGAACATTTTTCTAGTACAGGCATCAAGCTGCAAGTATGAATATTGAATTGTTACTCTGGGGAATCATAACCAGTTCAAGCAGATAGAGTACTAGTAATTCAACACTAGGGTGTGATTCAGCTCCACCCTTCTCATGAGAGCTGCTGCTATTTGTGTCTCAAGTCTACTATTTGAAATTGTTTCCCTTCTGGTTTAGTTAGATTTTAGTTTATTTAGCCATGGAACATTTTCTGTTTATACCCCAAAAGTAAAATAAATAAAATAAAAATAAGTAATTATATCTCTTTCTGTAGTAGCCTGATTTTTGAATTGTATTCTAAGGAATTTTGGTGGGGGGTGTTGTTTGTTTTTGTTTCTGTTCTGGGGATTGAACTCAGGGCCTTATGCATGCTGGGCACTTCCTCTACCAATGAGCTGTACTCCAAATCCCAAAGTTTCAGTTTTTTTGTTTTTTTGTTTTTTCAAAGATCCACAATGGGCTCATCACTAGTAATAACTTTTGAATCATGCCACAAGGTTCATAAATAGATTAACATATCTTCATAGGTTTACATTTTCATTCTGTTCTTATTTCAGAGTCTGTAAGGGCAATTTAAAATTTTGAGTACTACCATAACAAGTCTTTCCTGACTTGGGAGTGTCAAAATTAACTCTAGCCATATTTTTATTTTTAAATGTTTTGGTGGCTTTTAAATGATTTCTGCCATTAAGTTAGACTTTCCATTCCTCTTACTGTCCTTTCCTTGCTATCGTTTTTATGCAAAATTTGGAAGAAAGTTTGAACCAGGTTACCTAAGTTGCCGCCATCTTCATAGGTTAATTCTACATAGCAATTGCATCCAAGTCCCCATCTAATGGACCTTAAGTCTTGATTATTTTCTGTTCAGGTAAATGATGCCTTCATATTTTTCCTGGGCTTACCCCTTTACTTTATATTGTAGACTTGTATGACAGTGAAGACTAACATTTCAAATCTTGTTGAATTCCTATCCACCTTCAATCTCACTTCATGGATGGATGTGAATTCTTTGAATTATGATATTCTTGTTTGCTTGTAGTTCAGGTCATGTTCTCTTCTGCTATTTTTGGTTGCATTTGTTACCATCCTATTAAGTTCTTCACTAGCTTTAATGCTGATGTCAAGAGAAGTCTCTCCTTCTCCTTTGAAGCCATTAACAAGCATAACCTGGAATAATATGCTTATTTTCATCTCTTTAATTTCACTTTGAATCCACTGAGAAAAATTAGTGTTTTCTTTTTATCTGATCATTTTATTGCTAATTTAAAGAATACTTAATTCACACATTTCTATTACCCATTTTCTAGTTTGTTACTGTTTYTAAAATTTTAGTGTTTCTATCCAGCTTTCACTCATAAACTAAAGATCCTCAAGTTCTATTTTTCACTATTATATAGATGTAGATTTTTTTCTCCCTGAGGAGTCAGTTATATAATGTTTATAATAATGAGAATATTTGTTATCTGTATCTATTAGTGAGTTGGATTGTCCTTACATATACTTGTTCACATTTTATTCTCTATTATTTTTGGAGCTACACTTTCTGGATTGAGATGTCAGCCTTTCTTATTCATGAGTATGTGATCTTACTTAACTTACCTAACACTCTTCACCTTAATTTCCCCATGTGTGATATAGAAATAGTAATAGTTATTACATGATGGGGTTGTTGCCAATTGTTAGAGTACCTGACACTAAGTATAGCACTTACTGTTATTAGTATCATTTTTTGGATGCCCCTATGCTTAATAAATGCTATTTGGCAATGCAGTTAGTATTATTACAAATAACTGAGAAGCCAAGCTGTCCTAATAGGGATATTAATATTTGCCTCTGCTAAAACTATCTCAGTAAAGAACCTGTTTATTAAGTTGATGTAGCTTAGTGCTTCATTTTATCAAGCTGAACTAATTTTAATTTCAATGGAAATTACATATAACTATTTTATATTAGACTAACAACTACAAGAATTTAAAAAGATTGCTGATGATAGCATGACAACTAATTATTTTGTGTTATAAAAAGGCAGTCTGTTGAAATCATTCCCTTTTTTGAAAAGGATGTTTTATGCAAGTTGAATATTGGCCTAAGACTTGGATTATAAATTTTAATATCAATTTRCTTGGCCTTAAGTTTTAATTTCTCTTATGATTACTTTGAGATGTTAATGCTGAAAATACACATAAATGAGCAACTCCTGTAGTAGATAATTTAAAACATTGAAAAGACAAAGCTCTTGTTAGTCATAAATAATAATGAAAGAAACTACTTACTAGACACATTTAAAAAAATTAAACCACCATCATTTATATAATTTGCTTTCCTTTTTTCTTTATTTTTTGTGGTGCTGGGGATTGATCCCAGGACCCTATATGTGCTAGACAGGTGCTCTACCCTTGAGCTAGCWATATCCTAGTCATCCTTTTTAAACTTACAGGGATACATCACAGAATAAATACTCCGTGTTTGTTGGCTTGATAAAGGAAGATTTGATTGTCCCGACTGAGGGAACTGAGCCTTATAATTCTGGGTGATGCAAAATCAAGTACACAATTATATTTGGTTTCACAGTTTTAATAGTTGAGTTTGCAAAATGAATAGTATGTAAATTTTCAAATTTTTCTTTTCTAAAATTTATAAACCAATCCCATGAGTATAAAAATAATTGCAGTTTTTTTAATTGGAATCATTAAGGTGCAGTCCAGTATTTATGTGTAATTGTGGGATCCTGGCACGCAGAGCAGTTAAGGTTTCCCTCTTGTTATGGGTGTCATTGAGTGGGTGTTCTTGCCTGCTGGTTGGTTTCAGCACTCCATGGACTTTTTCAAGGACTGGTGCCTCTGCCTCCTCCTGTCTGTGATGTCTACTACCTTATATTTATTCCAGGGCAGCCTAACAGGTAAGATGTCTCTGGGGATATGTACTGCAGTTACAAGTTTAAACATCTATACACCTAAGATTTTTCCTTTTAGTTAAAGAGGGTTTTTCTTTCTTTTTTCTTTTTTGGTTTGTTTGGTCTTCTTTTTTACCTTGCATGAGGTCACATGGGACTGAATGAGCATGTGTTGAAATCGGACACAGACGTTTGTAGGCTTTTCATTACTTTCATATACTATTACGTGCTACTTACTTATGGTTAGCACCAG